CACACACACACATACACACAAACCAGTTTAGCCAAATAGTCGATTCCAATCACTTTTTTCTCGAGTTCTGCTCGGCGAACACGCTTCTCTCATTTTGCGTCAATAGCGTTCGTCGAGCGCAAATTCGGCGAACGAGAATTGTACCAGCCGCGCTGCGTAGCAGCCCTTTCAGCGCGCGCCGCTGTCGTGGATGTGTTTTGCGCTGTGTGGAGTTTCAAGCAGTCGTACGATGTCACCTTTCCACTTATGCTCCGCCCTTTGTTTTAATTGTTTCACTTGTGTAACTTGTTTATAGATGAGAAAATCCGTTACTTTCTGTTTTTGGAAAGTTATATGGTTCAATTTAGTCGGATTGTTGAATTGCGCCTGCGTTAGAATACTGTGTGATCACTGTAAGATCATTTTTCAAGGTTTGAACGGTCGCCGGGAGTAAGGAATCTAGACTGGAGGGGAGGTATGGCCGAGAGGCAGCCAATGCTCTCGTTTGCTAAGGTGGTCTCGGGCCAAATTAGCGAGACGAATTCCGCACAAGCAGCCCCAGTTCGTTCCACATCGCCCAGTACTCGTCCAACCGTAGCAGCATCCAGCCAGAAGCCCGATCATAGAAATGAGAAAAGGCATGACAAGGCTGAACGCACGGACCGACCGGAGAAAGGTGGCGTCGGCGCAGGAGCGGAGAAACAAGAGAAGCACGATAGAAATTTCGGGAACCGACGTCGCCCACCGAAGTACAGGGACCGTCATGATAAACGAGGGAATAAGCCAGAACCAGTAAAAGAGGAGAAAGCACCCAGCGTTGAGGAGACAGCACCTCCGCAGGAGCCTGTGGTGCTTGAGCCTGCGCCACTTCCAGCTGTAAATGCGTGGTTTAGAAATAAAGGTGGGTCAAAATATCCCCGCTATATAATTTCAACTCAATAACTTTCAGGTTCAACAGATTCGAGTCATGGTATAGATGTGGGCACAAATTCCAACAACGACGAACATAAGCACGTAGAAGATGAAGTCGAGGTACTTTCTCATTTTTCCGGCTTGTCAACCCTTTTATTAACCTCTAAAATTCCCACTCACATTTATTTTTATGTTCTCACAAACATTTGTACTTAGGTAAAGGAAGATAATGCATCATCTGCACAAGTAGCACCAGTTGTTGATGGAACGCCGAAAACTAAAAATGTGGATCCTGAGTGGCCGACTTTAGACGCAGCAAAACAGGAAGATTTAATTGCAAATGGAACAGATTCTCGTCAGCATTCCCCGACAGCGGATTCGGCAAAGGTTTGTTGCATTACTCAAGAAAAAAATTCCTTCGTTTTTCATTGTTAGCATGTATCTGGATAGTACACAATTTTATATTGGACATTCATCGATATCAATATGATATGTTGACCCAAAACTTTTACTTAATTTGGCAATTCATTTTCTGCCCGGACATAGTTTTTG